TTCAATGTGCTACGGTTACAGAAAATGGATACATGGCTGCTCAATCCTCTTCTGATATTATCCCTTTTCCTTCCTCCAGTCTCTCCTTTGATAACAAGTGCCTTACTTTTCAACATCAATGCCTTTCCACTCTCTATAATTCTCTCTCTAATGGTGCTTGGATAATTGACAGTGGGGCTACTACGCATGTCTGTTCTGACCTGACCTTGTTTAGTGGAACCTCACCTGTGACTGGTGTTACTGTTTCTTTACCCAACGACATTAGGGAAACCATTAGTCATACTGGCACTGTGCATATTTCTGATTCTTTGGTGCTGCATAATGTCATGTATGTTCCCTCTTTTCGTTTTAATCTCATTAGTGTCAGTAGTCTTCTTAAAGATAATCAATGTTCTGCTCATTTTTACTCTGATCATTGTCTAATTTAGGCGTTTACTCGGGGCTTGATAATTGGTAAAGGCGTTCTTATGCATAATCTCTACATTCTTGAGACTGCTGATATTGTTTCTTCCAACTTCTGTGGCTCCTCGCTAGTTTCTTCTCATTTATGGCATCAACGTCTTGGTCACCCGTCTCCTGTCAAATTACAGCATCTTTCGAGTATCATTCCCTTGTCTAAGTCTAGTTTGTCTTTGTCTGATCATTGCTATGTTTGTCTTCTAGCTAAGCAGAAGCGTTTGCCTTATGTTTATCATAATCACTTGTCTTCGTCACCATTTGATCTTGTTCACTTAGATGTTTGGGGTTCCTTTTCTGTCGAGTCTGTAGAAAGTTCCAAGTATTTTCTTACGCTTGTTGATGACTGTACTCGGGTTACCTGGATTTACATGCTTCGTAATAAAAGTGATGTTTCCACAGTGTTTCCTGCTTTTCTTTCTCATGTTAAAACTCACTATAATGCTAAAATCAAAGCTATTCGTAGTGATAATGCTCCCGAACTTGTTTTTCCTATAATTGTTCAAGATAATGGCATAGTTCATCAGTTCTCTTGTGTTTACACTCCTCAACAGAACTCTGTAGTGGAACGTAAGCACCAACACATCTTGAATGTTGCTCGTGCCTTGCTTTTTCAATCAAATGTCCCACTTGCTTACTGGAGTGATTGCATTTACACCGCTGTGTTTCTTAATAATCGTACTCCTTCTATACTTTTGGACAAACGCTCTCCGTATGAACTGCTAGCTAAGAAATTGTCTGACTATACCTTTCTTCGTTCGTTTGGATGTCTCTGTTACGTTTCCACTTTGAATAAAGATAGGAATAAATTTACCCCTCGTGCTGAACAGTGTGTTTTCTTGGGTTATCCGTCTGGTTATAAAGGATACAAAGTCTTAAACTTAGATATTCATGTCGTTTCTATCACTCGCAATGTTGTTTCTCATGAAGATGTTTTTCTGTTTACTTCTCTTCAGTCTCATTCTTCCCCTGATGCTTTGTTTCCCACGTATATTTTACCGCTTTCTATTCCTGCTAGCATTGATTCTTTGCCCACACCTGTGAATCCTGCAATTGTTTCACCACATTTGTCTCATGCATCTGCACCTCCACCACCTCTTGCATATGCACATCCACCACCTCATGTATCTGCATCTTCTGCATCCACGTCTGTTGCATCTACATCTCATCCCCCTAATGCCCGTCGTCGAGGAACTGTAACACGTCTCACATGTCAGTCTCAGCTACTGAATGACAGGCCACACCGTACTGCTAAAACCCCTAGTTACTTGTCTGATTACCATTGTTCCCTCTTTCAAACTGTTGCCGCTCCTCCCTCACTCACATCTCCCTTATATCCTATTTCTTCTTCCCTCTCTTACTCAAACCTTTTACCTCTTTACCAACACTATGTCCTTTCATATTCCATTGAAATCGAACCTACTTCTTTCCAGCAAGCCATGCTATCTCCACATTTCACTAAGGCCATGGTTGAGGAACTTCAGGCTATGGAGGTCACCCGTACATGGACGATTGAAACTCTTCCTCTGGGCAAGAACGTTGTTGGATGTAAATGGGTCTATACTATCAAATACAAGGCTGATGGAACTATTAAGCGTTATAAGGCTCGTCTTGTTGCCAAGGGTTTTACTCAACAGGAGGGTGTTGATTTCACCGACACTTTCTCTCCGGTTGCTAAGCTTGCTAGTGTGAAATTGCTCATTGCTCTTGCTGCGATTCAGGGATGGAGTTTATCTCAAATGGACGTTTCCAACGACTTTCTTCACAGTGACTTGGATGAAGAAATTTATATGAGCTTGCCTCAAGGATATACCCCTGCTCTGGGTACTACTCTTCCTCCAAATCCTGTTTGCCGCTTGCGTAAATCCCTGTACGGCTTGAAGCAAGCTTCACGGCAATGATATCACTGTTTATCTGCTGTTCTTCTCCAAGCTGGTTTTGTTTAATCGTCTGCTGACAACACTCTGTTTGTCAAGCAATCTGGGGAGAAGTTCACTGCGATCTTGATTTATGTTGATGACATAATGATTGCCAGTAACAGTGACGATGATGTTCGTTCTCTCAAGACGATTCTGAATGCTACTTTCAAGATCAAGGATCTCAGTCCTCTTCGCTTCTTCTTGGGTCTTGAGATTGCACGAACATCTGTGGGCATATCAGTCTGCCAGCGTAAATATGCTCTGAATTTACTCACTGACACTGGTCTATTGGCTTGCTTGTAAACCAAGTGCGATACCAATGGATCCTCTTGTCAAACTCAGTAAGAACATAGATGTTACTCTTTCTGACCGTACTCCTTATCGTGCTTTGATTGGTCGCCTACTTTACTTGACCATTACTCGCCCGGATATCACCTTTGCTGTCCATTGCCTTAGCCAGTTTCTGTCTTCACCAACTGATGTACATCTCACCGCTGCTCACAAAGTTCTGAAATACAACAAAGGCAACCCTGGCCAAGGTCTGTTTTACTCTGCTTCTTCTGACTTGTGCCTTAATGCTTTCTCGGATGCCGATTGGGCTACATGTCCCGACTCCCGTCGCTCGATTACTGGCTATTGCGTTTATCTTGGGAAGTCACTGGTGACATGGAAGTCCAAGAAACAAGCTGTTGTAAGTCGCAGCAGTACTGAAGCAGAGTATCGTAGTATAGCTCATGCGACTTGTGAATTATTTTGGCTACAGCAGCTCCTTAAATATTTGCAGATCACGGTTCATAAGAATACCAAACTCTTCTGTGAAAACAAGTCTGACATGCATATCGCCACCAACCCTGTTTTCGACGAGCGTACTAAACATGTGGAGATCGACTGCTATACGGTTCATGATCAGGTTAAGAATGGGTTCCTCACTCTAATGCATGTCTCGAGTTCAAATCAGCATGCTGACATTCTCACCAAAGCGTTGCATCCGGGCCCTTTTCATTCCTTACTTGACCGTATGTCGATTTCAAGCCTCTATCTTCCTCTTGATGATTCAACTTCAAAAACTTGAGGGAGTGTATTAGAGTTGGTTATCTCTGGTTTAGTTAGTTATCTCTTATGGTTTAAATTTCCGTTTAGTTTAACCATACTATATATATGGTTACTGTACATACATTTCTTATTTAATGAGAATAACAAACTATTGTTCAATAACCACTCTTATCCATCACTTTTCTAAACTCATATAACCTATTATTTCTTGTGTTTTTAAATTTACTTTGAATATTACTTTTTTGTAGAAAGAACAACTTTAACTATTGTTTCAGGAATATTCCATATTAAAAAAAACAAAACCGAAAACCTTATATCCCACCTAACTAGTTTGAAGAAAACTTTAAACATCATAATTCATACATACCTAATCGTATAACCCACACACATGATTCATACATAACTAATCATATAACACACACACACACAGTTCACATTTATAAGTGTATCGACCAAAAGTGTCACCTCTTTTTTGTTCATCCCTGACCAGAAAAACCTCACGTTTGGAACCCAACATCATTCAACTTTCAGAAACTTTCAAATTGATCACTCTTGTCCATCACTTTTCTAAACTCATATAACCTATTATTTCTTATATTTTTTAATTTTAACTTTTGAGTATTAATTTTTTTTAGAAAGAATAACTTTAATTATTGTTTTACAAATATTCCATATTAAAAAAAAAAAACCGAAAACCTTACCCGACTAGACGAGAAATGAAATGATTTAAATATTCCAACTCAACTATTGGACTCTAGTCCGACGATAACCTAACTAGTTTGAAGAAAACATTAAACAAAGATGTATCAAACTATCACTCTTGTCCATCACTTTTCTAAACTCATTCGAATGATACTAAACACAAAGGTCAAAGTCAACGACCATTTGAATCATTAATAAGGTTTTGTGTGTTGCATGCACGTCTCCTCTCTGGACCAGCTAAAGCCACTTGCTACGTTTACTTTTATATTCAGGTTTAATCCTGGGACCATTTTGATAATCCCAATCCTTTTAAATTTGTATAAAATCACTTTATCACGTTGTAGCATATTCAGTTCACTCGCAGTACCAAAAATTACCGATCCGAAATCTGAATTGAGTTTTATTTGGTTACTGTTTTCAAAATCAATAGTGACGAAACTAAAATGACAGAAAAGAAAAACTCTGAAACAAGTAAATTCTTTGGATTCTTAATTTTTGTAGAAAACCTGATTCCAAACATAACCAAGAAGTAGTTATTCAATTTGGATAAAAACGCTAAAAATGTAACATTGGCGTAGCCTAAACGGCACTGGAAGATCAAGGAGAAGTTAGTGGATCATTGTGTTTTAAATCTTTGTAGAATGTAAATGAAATTAATCATACTTGTTAGTTAAATTTTATATTGATTGCAGACAGCTGACCTGTTTATTTAATTTTTGCACAAGTTAACCCACAAAACCAGCATCGTGCTTATTTGTTATTACCAATTTCATTATTGTAGAGATATTGTAAAAGCCAAAAAAAGAAGGAAAATAGGTTTTTTTGTCTGTAAATGTCTCTCTCCTTTGTAGCCTAGTCCATAGGAGAACAATGGAGAGACATCCTCAAGCATTTCTGTTATGTGCGTTGATCTTCATCAGTTTTTTTGCCCTTTTACATCATGTTGAAGCTCAGGACCAGAAAGGTATTTAAAATACACATACTTTTTGTTCATTTTGTTACACTTTACGTCCAATTTTAATTTATTGTTACCTGCTCCATGCTCAAATGTCTTACTAGGATTCATCAGTTTGGATTGCGGGTTGTCGCCTAACGAGCTGCCTTACAACGAGCCTTCCACCGGATTAACATACTCAACGGACGATGGTTTTGTGCAAACCGGCAAAACCGGAAAAATCAAAAAGGAGTTTGAGGCCATCTTCAGTAAACCGTCTTTGACGCTTAGGTATTTCCCGGATGGAGTCCGAAATTGCTATACCGTGAATGTCACGCAAGGAACAAACTATCTGATCAAAGCCGTATTTGTTTACGGTAACTACGATGACCTTGACAACTTCCCGAGTTTCGACCTTTACCTTGGTCCGAATCTCTGGTCAACGGTAGATATGAATGGACGAACCAATGGTACTATCGAGGAGATCATCCACAAGACCATATCTAAGTCTCTCCAGGTCTGTCTCGTTAAGACAGGAACAAGTAATCCTATGATTAATAGCTTAGAGCTACGACCACTTAAAAACAATACTTACAATACTCAGAGCGGCTCGCTCAAGTACTACTTCCGATATTATTTCAGCACTTCAGGCCGAACCATACGGTACTTTTTACTTAATCAAGTTCTACTTTTGGTTTCCGGTTCGGTTCAAGTTTTTCCAAGAACCGAATATGTGTATATATTAAAAAAATTTAAAAACTTATTGGTTATTCGATTTAGTTACAAAAAATTCAAGTTTATGTTTCTATATATTCGATTTCGTTTATTCAAATATTAACTCATTCTTACCGTCCGGTTACTATTAATTTCTATCTGATTTGGTTTGGTTGGTTTTTTTACGTCCACCCTTATGTAAAATGTTAGTCTCTCTAATAGAATAATATTTTTTTATTTAGGTATCCAAATGATGTCAACGATCGTAAATGGTATCCATTCTTTGATTCGGAAGAGTGGACAGAAGTAACTACCGATCTCAAAGTGAACACTTCAATTGGTTATGAACCACCACAAGTTGTAATGGCTTCGGCCTCAACGCCTATAAGTACCTTTGCACCATGGAGCTTCACTTGGGTATTGCCGTCTGCCACGACCCAATTCTATACTTACTTACACTTTGCAGAGATTCAAACTCTAACGTCACTCGATATCCGGGAATTCAATGTGACGTTGAATGGGAAACTAGCCTATGAACGTTATAGTCCTAGCTTGTTAGCCATGGAAACTATATTCTTCTCCACACCACAACAATGTGAAGAAGGAGAATGCACCTTGAAGTTAACGAAGACGCCCAAGTCTACTCTTCCTCCTCTTATTAACGCTCTCGAGCTTTTCACCTTGATCGATTTACCTCAGCTGGAAACAAACCAAGATGATGGTATGTATAAATAAATTTCCATCTATATTAACTCTTACATATTTATCAATTGATTATTGATAGTAACAAGAAACTTTATTCTAGTTGTTGCAATCAAGGGTATACAAAATACTTATGAATTGAGCAAAATTAGCTGGCAAGGAGATCCATGCGTCCCTAAACAGTTTTTGTGGGACGGTCTAAACTGCAACAGCTTAGATATTTCCACACCACCTATAATCACTTCCTTGTAAGATCATGCAATCGTTAAATTGTTGTTGTAGTCATGTCACATCGTTTTTCCATAATTACATGAAATGTGTTCATAAATTTGTCTTTAGAAACCTATCCTCAAGTCACATAACGGGGATCATTGCGCCTGGTATTGAGAATCTAATCCACCTACAAGAATTGTAAGTATCTCGAATTTTGCAACTGCGCATAATCAAAATAACATCTTCACCTTAGTTGTTTCTTATTTATAACATATACCATACTTACAAAATGCTTTATTTAGAGATTTGTCAAATAACAACTTGACCGGGGGAGTACCGGAGTTTCTTGCTGGCATGAAATCACTCTTGGTCATGTGAGTCGCTTTTGAGACAATACAAAAAAAAAAAAATTGGTCGGATAGCTTCCTTTCATTACAAGATTGCTTATGTTCCTAACTATGTTGTTTATCTTAACAGAAATTTAAGTGGGAATAATCTTAATGGCTCTGTTCCTCAAACCCTTCTACAAAAGAAAGGACTAAAATTAAAGTAATTTTCTTTTACTATATATTTTCTTCATGAGTATATAAAACCACTTGATGTGTTCATAAATCCTAAACAACAATGGTAATCCACAGTCTTGAAGGGAACTCAGATCTTATTTGTCTGGCTGGACTGTGTGTAAACAAAACCGGAATTGGTGGTTCTAAGAAAACGAGTGTTGTAATACCAGTTGTTGCATCGGTCGCGTTCTTGGTTGTTCTTGGTTCTGCATTGGCTTTCTTTTTTGTGTTCAAAAAGAAAAAGACATCAAACAATGAAGGTATACCACACACACACACACACAAAACTCTTAAACTGGCAGAAACATTGCAATATATTCATAATACATTTGTTAAAAGTCCAATTATTAAACTTGCATATTTTGTAGCACTAGGTCCAACATCATATACGCAAGTATCAGATGATAGAACAACCAGATCTTCAGAACCAACAATAATGACGAAAAACAGAAGATTTATATACTCAGAGGTTGTAACGATGACAAAGAACTTTGAAAGAGTCCTTGGTAAAGGAGGATTTGGAATGGTCTATCATGGAACTGTAAATGGTAATGAACAAGTAGCCGTTAAAATGCTCTCACATTCGTCTTCTCAAGGGTATAAAGAATTCAAAGCAGAGGTAACTTTTAGCAAAGTTTTTACTAAATTTTTTTTTGTAGAAAACATTAATGCACTTTAGGAATTACATGTCAAATTTTGATTTTATGGTTCATTCTATTCTTCTAGGTAGAACTTCTTCTCAGAGTCCATCACAAAAATTTGGTTGGCCTCGTCGGATATTGTGATGAAGGAGAAAATTTGGCTCTCATTTACGAGTACATGGCTAACGGAGACCTAAGAGAACATATGTCGGGTAAGTATAATGAATTGCTACCAAAAAGAAATCCCCATATTTGTTCATTGTGTTTTCACTTTTTTCATATTTTGGTTCAAATGTAGGAAAACGAGGTGGATCTATTCTGAATTGGGAAACTAGACTAAAAATAGTGGTCGAATCTGCGCAAGGTTTGATATGAGTTTTGATATATAATATCTTGTTTTTCTTATATTTATTTCTTAAACGTTGCTGAAATGAAACTTGTTGCATAGGGTTGGAATACTTACATAACGGATGCAAACCACCAATGGTTCATAGGGATGTCAAAACCACAAATATATTGTTGAATGAACATTTTCAGGCCAAGTTAGCTGATTTTGGGCTTTCGAGATCTTTTCCGATTGAAGGGGAAACTCATGTGTCAACAGTTGTTGCTGGAACTCCTGGTTATCTTGATCCAGAGTAAGTGTTATTAGGGTCATTGATTTTGTTTTAAATTAATTTAAAAATAAATTATTATTTTTTGCATATTTTCTTTATTTCTAATGGCATAAAGAAACAATTATGCAGATATTATCGAACAAATTGGTTGAACGAAAAAAGTGATGTTTATAGCTTTGGAATTGTACTATTAGAGCTCATCACAAATCAACCTGTGATCAATCAAAGTCGTGAAAAGCCACATATAGCAGAATGGGTGGGAGTAATGCTTACAAAAGGAGACATCAAAAACATTATGGATCCAAAACTGTATGGAGATTATGACTCTGGTTCTGTCTGGAGAGCAGTTGAGTTAGCAATGTCATGTCTAAATCCTTCTTCAGCTAGAAGACCAACCATGTCTCAAGTTGTCATCGAATTGAACGAGTGTTTGGCAAATGAAAACTCAAGAGGAGGAACCAGTCAAAACATGAACTCACAGAGTTCTATAGAAATGAGCATGAGCTTTGATATTGGAACTGCCCCTGTTGCTCGCTAGACTGCAAAAGTCATATTATCTTTGTTCTATTGAGTGAATTTTCATTATTTTAAATAAATTTGAATTTTTGTAATGGATTTCTTTCATTGATGAATGTGATTTGTTTGCAATCAAGATAAGTAGAAAAGACTCGATCTATTCTAAGCAGTATATACAAATTATGATGCTGATAGAGCCGGCCCTTGCACAAGGCCTATGAAGCATCTGCCAATCGAGATGAGAGTGACTTGTTATGTACGTTCCATCTATGAAAACTTGATATGTGAGTGATTTCTTGTGGGCCGAAACAACACAAACAATGTCCATGCATGTACTTCCTCGCTCATCATCAGACAATGTATGTTCTCATACTCCTTACATTTTTTTCCCAGATAAACAAAAGTGTCATGAAATATGATTGTTAATAAATACATATATCTGACTTCATCAGGAAATTTTGGGATTCTGATTAGTAAGACCAAAATTTCGGATTTATTGTTGATATCTATATAGTGAATTATATTTTGCTTCATAGGGACATCTTTGTCTAAAACGTTAGATGGAAACAAACAAGAAGCCGTAACCGTTCAATTAAAAAGTCAACAAGCATGATGGATCTCTCTCATCTCCCTAGCTTGCAAACTCAATCGAATCCTGACTTATATATATATTATTTTCCTTAGAGTTTCTTTATTGGGAGCCAACTTAAATATATGGGTTTTGATATTAGATAGTGGATTATATTTTTAACTACTAAAATCAACCAAATTGTATTTTGACTTCAAATGTTGGTCGCTTAAATTCTATCCAATAGCCGGTTGAAATAGGACTTGCAAAATTCTTCCAGTTTTCCTGATGAAAACTCGTTGCATTTTAAATGGATGTTATTAACACAGCAACGACATTAATAAAAAGTTCTAAACTATATATATCAATATATTAAGGGTTAAAAATAGCATCTCTCAAAATACACTAAGAGAGTATAAATTCACTTAGTTGAACTCGTAGCTGTAGATCAATATGTCCATCAATTTTCTCTTCGACCAAATTTAATTATTAACTTACGAATATTTATATCGAACAATATAGCTAATATACTTTCAAAATAAAGAGTTTATAAACATACATACGGTAAAGACAGATCGAAGTATAAGTTCAAAATTAGATAGACGTATGTTTTTCTTGTTTTTTTTTGATAAAGAGTAAATTATAAATCAAAAGAAGTGTTTGATACAAGAGCTGATCTAGCCCGATGCTTCTATGGCCAAAAAAAGATAAAAACCAGTGAGAAGCGAGATTTGTAGAATCCTACTTGAAAAATTAGAACCTAATCAAAGTTAATTACAATAACGAAACCACAGGGAGAGGAGATGACTGCATCCTTTCCTGGTCCTTCTCCCTAATAGGATGGCTCGAACTGTTGAGTCAATCTTTGAGAACAGAGAGTCTGGAGTTAGCGAAATGAGATTGTACCTTCTGCTATTTCTTTCGCTCCAGATAAAATAGACTGTTGCTTGAGAGACTAGTCGTTTAAGGAGTAGAACATTTGCCCAGTTATTCCCCTGCAACAGCCATTGCAGCAGCGCCTGCCAGGAGACTAACTGAGCATAGGGAACCCCAAAACGACGGAGCACAAGTCACCAAACCGCAGAAGACACCTCACATTGAAAGAATAAGTGATCCCTTAATTCGGGGGAGGCTGAGCAAAACGTACATCTCGGGCTTACATGCAGGCCCCAAGCAGCGAGTCTTGTATTTAGGGGGAGTCTATCCAAATTTGCAACCCAGAAATTGAAAGCGTGCTTCGGGACACAAAGTTTGAACTAAACAGCCTTAAACCAGTCTCTGGTCACTCTTGTAGGCTGCAAGAAATGCCAAGTTTTGCTCGTGGAGAAATCCTGACTTCTTTGGTTCGTGGGACCCCAAAGAATAGTATCCGGTTCTAGAGAAATACTTGCAGCAGACAGAACGCGAAGGGTGGAGAGCAAAGCCCGAACAATCCCGTTTCGCGAGCGCGATTGCCTTTGCCAATCATGAGAGCTTAAGGCTTCAGCAACCGTTGCTTGCTCAGAGATGCCCATGATACGAGGGTCAGTTTCTCCCACAAAGTTAAGGAGATTGCCATGCGATGACCAATTGTCGTACCAAAAACTGGTATTGGACCCATTTCCGACAACTTTATATAAGAGAGAGCTTGCCGTCGGTCTGAGGGTTAGCAGATGTTTCCAAATCCAAGAGTCTGTCGCTCTGCTTGTAGTTGCCCAGAAGTTGTGTCTCTTCAGCTTATGCTCTCGCATCCAGGTGGCCCATAAAGAATCAGTTGAGGACTGGAGGATCCAGATGAGCTTAAGGTTCAGAGTTTTGTTCCATATGGCTAGGTTACGGAGTCCTAGACCACCTTCTGAATTTGGAAAACAAATGTCCTTCCACGAGACTTTTGCAGCTGTGCGCTTGGAGAGATCACCCGACCAAAGGAAGTGATTACAGAGCTTCTCAATATCCTCCAGGCAAGCTTTGGTAAAGGGAAAGCTGAGAACCAGAAGTTAACCAAACTATAGATGACAGAGGAGATCAACTGGAGCCGCCCTGCGAAGGAGAGGCTCTTCACGGTCCAGTTATTGAACTTGGATTTGATCTTGTCTATAAGCATGGAGTAATCTCTTCTGCGAAGTTTCCTGTGCATCAGAGGCAAACTCATATATCTCATGGGGAGGGAACCCCTTTGGAATCCGAATATATTGAGAGCATCAGATTCCTCCGGGTTCAATCCCACAGTAAAGAGGTGAGTTTTATTAGCATTTATAGACAAGCCGGAGATGACTTTGAACTCTTCTAATGATGAAGTTATGCCCTGCAGGGAGGAGAGTTTACCGTCGAAGAGGATCATAATGTCATCAGCAAAGGTGAGATGAGTGACTATCGGATTTCTTCCCAAGGGATGATATCCAAAATCGCCCAGAGTGAATCCCTCATTTAGCAGATTCGAGTAGACTTCCATTGCTATAACAAAGAGGGATGGGGAGAGCGGGTCACCTTGCCTTAAACCCCTTGTGCTTTTGAAGAAACCACAGAGTTCCCCATTGACCGTGATAGAGAAAGTGGTGGTGGTGAGGCATTGAGAGATCCAGTTGATGAAGACCGGAGGGAAGTCCGCAGTTTCCAGAATACGAGTAAGAAACTCCCAATTTACTGAAAGCTTTCCTCAAATCGACTTTGGAAGACCCCAGCTAGAAATGTTTGATCTGTTAAAGCCCTGCACCATCTCAGTAGCCAATAGAACATTCTCCACCAAAAGTCTACCTTTAACAAACGCCGATTGAGTATTGGATATTATCGCCAGGGTGACCTCTTGTAGACGTCGAGCCAAGATTTTTGAGATTAGTTTGTAGACCACATTACAGAGCGATATTGGTCTGAAGTCTCCCAACGTATCAGCTCCGATTGCCTTCGGGATTAGGGATATAGCTGTACAATTCCATTGTTTTAGAAGCTTTCCCCAGGAGAAGAACTCTAGAACAGCTTTTGTGAGGTCCGGTCCAATGATGCCCCAAGCTTTCTGGTAGAAGTCTCCAGTAAACCCATCCGAGCCCGGGGTTTTGTTCCAAGGAAGGGAAAAGACCTCACGTCTCACATCCTCTGCAGTAACAGGGGCTTGGAGCAAGTCCTTGAGGGATTCTGAGCATCTAAATGGGATAAGGCTCGAGATTCGGTTTAGTGCCTCTGTGGGGAGGGGAGACGAGGGAGCACCAAAAAGATTCTGGAAGTAAAGGACACAGCGAGCCTTTACATCCTCCATATTCTCCAAGCGATGACCCTCTTGATTAATCAGATAGTGGATACGATTGACCGACTGTCTGGAGAGAACCATCCTGTGGAAGAAAACAGTGTTGGCGTCTCTACTGTCCAGCCACTTTACTCGAGATCTCTGCAGGAGGAAGCGCTCCTCTGCTAGGGCCAAGGAAACCCATTTATGGTGAGCCTCCCTTTCAGCCAAAGCAAGACTAGAGGTCGGGGATGTGAGGATTTGGTTTTGGTAGAGGATTAAGCTTGCGTGAGATTCTCTCACTCGGTACTCCAAATCAGAGTAGTGCTCTCTGCTGATGTCCCTGATCTAATTCTTAAGATGCCTGAGCTTCCTAGAGAAGGAAAACATCGCAGTTCCCGGAGAGTACGCGAGGAAGGAATTCCGGGTGATGAAGGAGAAATGAGACACCATAAAGTGTTTCTTTAATCGCAGACGAGTCCCCAGCACTAAACAGCTTGGGCTATGATCAGAGGAATTCGGATCCCCGAAATAGGCGTATGCTGAAGAGAACTGGAGTTGCCATTGCTCGTTGATGAGAACTCTGTCTAGTTTCTTAGCAATAGGAGAGTTTGTATGCTTGTTCCACCATGTAAATTTGTGCCCACAAATAGTGAGGTCAAAGAGCTATGCATCCTCTACACAACTTCTGAGGTCAACCATCCCACTGGTTATCCTAGATCCTCCAGTAGAAGATTCACTAGGGCTCAGAATTTGGTTGAAATCACCTAAGGCTGTCCAAAGTTTGTCGGCAAAGAGAGGATCACTCGCGAGATTTCTTATCTCCTCCCAAAGAGCCTGTCTCTCATATTTACAGTTGAGGGCGTAGATAAAAGAGACAACAACCACCGTGGAGGTGTGGGAAAGCTCCACAAAGCAGGTAATCATCTGGCTAGACTTTGAGTGAATCGTAATCTTCACACTAGGGTCCCAGACCACCCAGATATGACCCAGCTCTGCAAACTCATAATTGGTAGAGAAGTTCCAGCCAGGAAATGATGAGTTTGTATAGCGAAGAGCCTTCTCCTCTCGCACTTTAGTCTCTATAATTCTTCCAAAATACGCTTGGACTGCCGTAGCCATTTCTTGACACTACTACACTTTAGCTTATCGTTAAAACCTCGGATATTCCAGCAGAAAGAGTCCACTAACATAGGTATCTGCTTGGATCTTTGGGGAAATTCCCCGCAGCTTGCTTCTTTTCACGTCGCTTCTGTTTTTTAGAGAGCACAGTCAGGAAACGGGAATTGTCAACAGGGTTGTCTTCTTCCTCCGAGGGGGAATCAGACGAGGAGGAGTTTCTTGCATCTTCGCTTTCTGCTTGGTCTGAGTCTTCTTCATCTTCATCAGAGGTTGATGGCGAAGAGAGAGTAGACCTGGAGTTGACTGGTTTTCCTTTAAGTGAGCATCCCTTAGCCTCCGATCTTGAAGGGGCTATACGTTTCTCCCGCACGTCTGGGGCAGAGTCAGCCAAGACAGGAGGCTGAGCCTGATCTTTGAGCTTGTCCTTACACCTTCTCTGGGGGTTCTTGCGTTTGGAAGGACCCACACTGACGACTGGGTCAGGGATAGCTGGTGCTTTCTTCTTCACATGCGGGCAAACATCTATAGAATGGGTCGTAGAGTTGCAGGGGGTGCAAGTGATGGGGGCAGCTGGGCATCTCCGGATGCTATGACCAACTTCAGAACAGAACTCGCAGGTAAGGGGAAGCCAAGGGCAGTAGACTTCAACCCGGTGGGTCTCTCCTGATTCAAACTGAACATTCACGACCTCAGGAAGAGGGGTCGAGGGATCAATGATAGTGAAGACCTTGGCTACCTCTATGTTTGCCAAATTCGCCGTGGAAGTGTGGAGGTGGAGAGGGTGACCTAGAGCTCCAGCAACATGCTCCAAACCTTCTTCGTTGAAAAATTGGGGAGGGACTCCTCTGAATTCTAACCAAACCGGGACTTGCTGCAATGCGGGCATGTCGGGACTCAAACCTGGCTCCCATTTGGCTACAAACATAGTCTGACCGTCTATATGCCAAATGCCTTGGTCCAGGACTCTTTGACGGGTTGACAAGTTTGGGATTCTGATGAGTACCGATTTTGGACCAAGTCTTGAGGCAATGATGTCTCTGGCCTTATTGCTCCAGATTCCGTTGAGAATAGCGTGGAGGATTCCTCGAGAGGGGAGATTTCCGTAAAATTGCCCAATCATAAAGGCTTCCCATCTGCTCTTATTTCTGATAATAACTTCGTTTGGGATCTTGACACATATTTTTCTTGAATCGAGGAGAAATAAAGTCCCTTTCTTTTTCATCGTGCTTTTAGGGCCCTTGAACAGATCAGCCCAGACTGGTTTTGAAGACGACGAGCCCACTTCAGGCGGATCTGTAGTGGGGATGGCTACTGTTTGAGATCCATCAAACGAGGACGGAGGCTCTAGACGAGGCTCAGAAACGACAGTGACGGAGGGACCTGGTGAGGAGGAGTCTCCTACTGTAAGGTCCTTTGCTTTGGGCTTGGAGGAGACCTGCGCTAGGGTAGAACGGTTTTCATAAATGGGAATCGAGGGCGGAGATGGGGAGGAAATGGGATCAGAGAGTTTTGGGGTGATTGCCTTTTGTCTCGGGGAGCGGTGCTTCCCCATCAGAAAACTAGGGTAGCTGTTGCCGAGATCAGCGACGGCGGTTGAGAAAAAAGGGATTGCTTTTTCCACTCTTTTTTTTTTTAGAGAGAAAAAAGACTTTTTTTCACAATAGATTTGGTCTATGTTTTTCTTGTTGATGTAGTTATGAATTCTTTTCTTGTTGATGTAAAGATGATGCCATCGATGGAGGCATTGGAAGCGATAAAGAAGAAGATCGAAGGCCTAAGGACAGATATAATCATTGTTGGCGTCGATTCCTTCGAATATGCAGTTCTCAATGAAGGTAATTGTTGAGATCCATTTTTTAAATCATTCGATATGAAATATGAAGGATTGTTCAATTAGTATTTGATTCTGATATATATATATATATATATATATATATATATATATATATATAATTTTTTGTAGCTATATTAAAATTGTTTGGTCTTGGCCTTGACTCTTGCTGGTCTTCAATCAAGCTATATATTGCATATCGAGATGTTATAAACACAGCAACGACATTAATAAAGTGCTAAATTATATATATATATATATATATATATATATATATATCACGTTTTCTTCTTTGCTATGGAGTCCACGTTCTTCAAATTTTTTGTATTAAAGCTTTGTAATACATGCAAGTTTTTCTTTGTACACTCAATGCACATCAATTTATTAATAGGAAAAATAGGCATCTTCAAAAGACAGCCAATATAGCACCATTAGTTAATATGTTTTCCTTTCATCCACCATAAATTAATCCAATTATTAATGATTAATAGTGTATAAATTTTTAATTTATACGTTTACTACAAAACTTCTATTATTTTTAGCTGAAACTAATATATGCATGCATGTAAATGTTTTTTCACGTAAAATTGTAACCGAAACAACAAACTTAACAACTAAACCCAAGATCTATATAATCTCCTCCTTGGCCAGCTTCGGTAACCTTCTGGCTAAACCGAGATTCCGGAGGTCAGCAAATCCACACGTTACAAGTCTAATCCGAGATCAAATTCCGGGGACCAAGACTTGCGAAGATCATATTGGTACCGGAAATTTGGTTTTCTAATCCATTTTCCTCTCTCTTGACTCTCTTCAATTCCTCTTTATGGTGATTATACTAGATCATTTATGGTTTGTACTTGTACTACATGGTTTTGTTCAAAGTATCTAAGCTCGTAATCGTAGATAACAATATATAGGCCCAGTATGAGTCATATCATCGAGGGTAAGAAGCAGCTGCCAATTGAGATGAGAGTGACTTGCATGTACGTTCCATCTGTGAAAATTTGATGTGTGTATATATATATTTCTTGTGGGCCGAAACAACATAAACAATGTTCATGCATGTACTTCCTCACTCATTATCAGCCAAACAAATATATGTTCTTTAATTACTCCTTGCAATTTCCCCAGATAAACAAAAGTGTCCTGAAATATCATTGTTAACAAATATCATCTAATCATTTTACTTCATCAGAAAAAAATTGGGTTGTATTGTCTCAGTTACTTATAAGAAAAAGTTTTAATTAATATAGTGGTTCAAAACATATTATTAATTTTACAAATTAAATACATTATAAATTACTTATGCATGTACAATATTTTGATAAAAATTATACTTTTAGTTTTTTTTTTTTAAACTATATAAATATATATATGTATATATCATAGTTATTCAACAAAAAATTACAATATTAATATAGAGGTATGTCTAGTAGTATACTCTAAATATATAAGTGCATATAAAATTAAGTTTTCACGTAAATATTATCGATCGCCGTATGGTATGTAAAATGATTAAAGAGATAGCTCTATTATTATTATTATCTTTAAAGTAAAGAAAAAATATATTTCAAATGGATTTTTCTGAAAGAATAACAAGTTGAGAAATACTTAATCAGTTGAAAAGATGATAATAGAGAGGTATATCACATCGATCGGTTGATGATTGTGGACAACTGGATGCTGTTTTCCTTAAGCTAAGAAGTTGCCAAGTTGATGAAGTCAAAAAAAAAAGTATTCAGCTTTCGTCATCAAATGTGTATCCTCTGATTTCATAAGATACTTTGTTCTTGATTTTTATTCTGTGTCCCCTATAATTATGATTTTAGGACTAGAAATAATAAATGGACATGTGTAACTAATAAGGTTGTTGGTTTGATTTGTGAATTGTGAACCATGTTTTTGTAGCAGAATTTTGGAGAATTTCCTCGAAAAATTCTAATGATTAGTACGTAGGACCAAGATCTCTAATTTATTAAGATATAAAATAATCGAGTTATGTAAAACTTTCCAAAAATAGGTTGCTTCACAGGGACATCTTTTGTCTAAAACGTTACATGGAAACAAACAAAAGACCATA